TGTGTTTGTCGCTGGCAATTTTGTACTTGATTTCAGCACTAATACTGTTCAGGGTGGTCCCTGAGGGGCTTCATGCCTGTATATCTTGGGAACGGGGTGGCGCATAAATATGCGATATGCATCATATGAAAGGTCATTTCGTAAATTTTTATATGACACACCAAATCATACATCTCACACTTCCACGTGTCCGCCATCTTTGTCAAAAGATGCATGCAACCTTCTAGCGAACATTTCCAGAACTGTCTCCAATTGGGCAGGTGTGATGTTCCTGACTACTCTCCCAATTCGTGTGCGTGTGGCTTACATAATTTTTTAAACAAACCGATGGATGGAATGAGGAGTGTTTATCCTGTCGCCTCCGAGATCCCCAGACCTGACCCTTGGGGGGGGGGGGGGGGGGGGGGAAAAGNGAGTGTTTATCCTGTCGCCTCCGAGATCCCCAGACCTGACCCTTGGGGGGGGGGGGGGGCAAATGAAGCTATCTGCCCCGGGCCCCGCGTATCAAGGGGCCCCAAGGAGGGCCTCCAAAGGGTCTCAAAGGGGTCCCCAAGGGGTCTCCGGTTTAGTTTTGCCCCGGACCCCTGGAAACCTCTGGGCGGCCCAGTGTATATGAGAATGTACCATGCTCGAGTATCAAGTCAAGTGAAAAATACTGTATCAGCAATTGTAAACAAGGGGAAATCCAACTTTTACTCGAGTGAACTGTCTCCGTTTGGTGGCTGCCTTCACATCATACAGCGTTCCTATTTGTCAAGTTCAGACATACAGCACCGACGCATAAAAATCTTTCCATTTATTTTCCTCATTCATTTCCTGAATATTGACCCCCCCCCCCCCCCCAATTTCTGCATTTTGAAGACCCATGTATCTTGTCTTCAGTCAAGTCCATTAAATTTGATAGTATTCAGGCGCAAGCCAATATTGATGTGAGAGGCATGAATCTTGGAAACCATGGAGGAAGTGTAGCAGAAAAAAATAATAATGCACTTCTACGGATTACGGTTAATTACAGTTTTACACGCCCGGAAGATAAGTTAGAAAAGCAATGGACAGTGGAAGGCAAGGAGGTGCTGGAATGAGGATTACATCGTTTTCGTCTGTGCCTTCATCCGAGCTACACTCAGAGAAATCGGTGAATCGAGACGATATACTTCTCTCAATTTTCGCATTTCGATTTCTTTTTCTCAAGAGAAAAATACATCAGCTGGATTTTCGATTTATATCTCTCGCTTCCCGACCGTGCCGGGTCGCCTGAAAGGCGTTTGCAAAACCAAAATGCGTCTATAGCAGAGTCGAGAGGGTGGTTTGAGTTGCCTTGCATCGTCTAGACGCATGTTAACCTCCGTATTCCACTTCGTGCCGAGGAAGCCTTCCCCCTCTCCCTCCCCCCCTGAACCCTCGGGGCTATGCATTGACAAGGGATTCACAGGCAACCACCTGAGTGCATGGCCTGTTCGCCACTTCACCTTCCCTCCGACCCGCGCGAGTAGCACGTGCGTCTCGAAGGGATTCCCATGTAACCGCTTACTTCATTCTTCGAGTCCAGTTTCATACGTTGTTTGTATTCCGTTTGGTGCGTTGGTGGTGCAACACATATCGCATTCGGGCTCTAAGTTCAAAAGCCACTATATTCCCACAATAGGTTTGTCTAACGTTAAAGAATACCAGTATTTGTAGCCTATCATCTTAAATCAATTAGTGCACCCGCAAATTATTTTCGGATTGAATTCATAGTACCACCCCCCCCCCCCCGGGGTAGAAGAAAACAAAAAGAAAGCTCAGACTCCAGAGGACATCCTTCATCAGATGGTTTTAAATAACCGCGCTTATCGGTGTCGCTATCTGCAATCGATGGAAGTGCCCTATTTCGTGTGTATTGGGGATGAATGGGGTACGAACAGTGGCGTATTTTACGGGGGGGGGGGGGGCGGGGCACCCATGAGACAGAGCTTGGCGCCTCCTTGGCGATAATGTTTTCACTTGAGTTAGACAACTTTTCCCTTGATTCGGACACACGTGCATGGGACGTTCCTCATGCATGAGTGCCGAAGTCAATTGAAACAGTGTCTGACTCAAGTGAAAAACATTAATATGATATCGCTGATATCGCTCTGATGGGGTTGGGCACCCCCACTTTCCTGCCCTGGCCCCCTGACTCTTCAGCCAAAATACAGCCACTGGGTACGAATTCAATCTGAAAACGACGTATTTCCTGAACCCTTTGAAGGTCCGGCCTAGCACTTGATCGCCATGGATGCCCAATATTATATTTCAGTTTCATCGATGATTTTGATTTAAACTCTGTGCCCGACACCACCATTCGTATTGAGTGTTATGCATGTTTATATTTTATAGTTAAAATGATATGCGATTGAAGCAGTGACAGCTGCTTCGTTGAGGAAAATAGAAGTGCCCCATAGGAGGTGGGCGATCGTCCTATGCACACAGAATCAAATTAATGCAATTTGGTAGAGAAAAAAGTTGTCCTCCATGAGATGCGTTTTTATCGCATCCAAAATTTGTCCTCTATGTGATGCGTTTTTATCGCATCCAAAATTCGATGCGATAAAGACGCATCACATGGAGGACAGATTTTTTCGCGAGAAAAATGCATCGAACTGAGGCACTGAATTTTCTGTGTGTATGCATTGCCCAGTTTAACAATTTGCAGGCGGATCATTCTATCACGAGTATGCCAACGACATGTACAAACATTAGAATTCATAATTTGCCATGCAATAGAATTATGGTGAGAATAGCGTCGACCTAAAACCAAAATCGTACGTCCCTTCGACAAACAAGGGCCCCAAATATAGAGGTCCCAAAATTGCCATCGAGGAAAAAAATAGCTTTCAGCCTCAAAGATCACCCTTCCTTGTTCTCCATCCTAAAGAGGTGGTTCAGGTCTCAAATTAAATCTTGCAAAAAGGGGAGAAAATATATGCTACCCTATAAAAAAAAAATCATTTTCCTGTCCTCATGAAATACCAGGATCTTCAAGACAGAAGAGTAGACCTTATGCCCATTTGCTTAGACATTGAACCGCTAGAGGTGATACCTGAAATGCTGCTTTGCTGAGGAGCGGGGATTCAACTTGACAACGGTGTCAATAATCACTGAATAATTTCGCATTCTGGCATGTGGCTCAGATTTTTCTGATTCATTTCCCCAAGAACCTGCGAAATTGACAACATACATGTACGTTACAACGAAATATTAAAAAGTTATAAATATAAGTTGCCCGAGGACAATAGTGTTTGTACGAGGTAGTCACCCATATAAATATGGATTACTCTGGCTGGACAGCCTGAACTCAAAGCTCCTTTAAGTTTTTGCTCAGAATGTGGGAGGATCTTAACAGATCCCACCAATTGGATCGCCAGCAATTTTTTCTACTTTCTTGAAGACGCTGAAGAAAGAGATTGACAAGAAGAAAATCTCATGCGAAATTTTTTTTTCCTGGCGGAAAGTACTAGTCCTATCGGAGTCGAACATTTGAGCAACTAAAAAAGAGAAGCAAGACCCTCTTTCATTGGACTACATATACCACCAATTTTGAAATCCATTTGGACGTTGACTTTTGCTCGAAATATTAAATGAAAGCATTCAACTTTAAAAACGCATTCGCAAAAAGTTTGAATTTTTTAAGTTTGAAGAAAGGTCACTTTTGAAAGAGTGGGAAGAAAATGGTTACAAAGGCACCAAACAGAGAAGCTGGCTACATGAACTCAACAGTTTTGGAATGGTTAGAAGACCATATGAGACGACCACCCCTTGAGTAGACCGTTTTCACGTGGAACAATCAGTGGTCGGCTCAAAGGGGTTTCACTGTATATTTTCCCCACAAATTCTCTATATTATCTCTATTGGCCCGCAGTATTGATATGCTGCAGATTTCACTTTTGATTTTTTTCTATAGAAACTTAAAACATTTTCTCCTGGGTAGATTTGTAGTGACCTGAAACGTTTCTGGGGGCAAGAGTTTCATAACTCTTGGAAGTCAGCTGGCGACATCTCTGGGACGTCATGACAACCTTCCACCGGTCTACATGGCTTATGAGATGTATTGAAAGCTAAATCATTTATTTGCGGGACGTCAAAGGGATGAATCCCTGAAAAGTCACTGGGGGATTTGCCCCCCCCCCCCCCCCCAAACA